GTGTGGACCACACCTTCGAGTTCATGGAACCGCTAGCGCGCCAGTGGGGCCACGGCCATGCGCTGCCGATCATCGCGGCCGTCGCGCTGGAGAACGTGCAGCGGCCGATGCCCAGCGTCTTCGGCGGGCCGCTGACGGCGATGACGCACGAGATGACGGCGGCCTCCGCGGCGGGCATCGACCCGAGCCGGCTCGGCAGCCTCACGCTCGTCGTGCATGGCGATGTGCCGGGCTTCCGCCGTGCGGCGGCCCGCGTCGCGCATGCGTCGGCGAAAGCCTACTTCGACCCGGCGCGTGGCGAGGTGGGGCTGCTGCTGGACATGGACCGGTTCCGCCGCTTCTACGGGCGCTTCGAGCGGGAACCCCAGCGCCAGCCGTCGATCCTGTCGGCCTTCATCGCCTACACGATGGATGCCTTCAACGAGGACTCCAGCCACGAGCTTGCCCACGCGATGCAGCACCAGACCGGCCGGCTGGGCTATGCGCTGCCGGCCGTGCGGGAAGGCGAGGCAGAGGTGCAGGGCCTCGTGCGACGCCGCAACGGGCTCACGTTCAACTTTCTGTACAACACGCCCGACGCCTGGTACTCGGGCAAGTTCGACCGGCGCGTGCTCGACGCGCGGCTCACGGCCATCCAGCAGTTCGGACGGCCGATGCATCCGTTCGAGGTGGACCGGCTCGGCGCCTTGCAGGCGCTGCAGCGGGCCGGCGGCTTGATCCCTGCGGGCAGGCTGCTCGGGATGGACGCGCCGGCCTTCTTCCTCGGCACGCCGGCCGAGGTCGAGTCCCGCTATGCGCAGGCGTGGGCGCTGTGCCTGCTGGCGATCCGCGAGAAGCCTGCCGGTGAACTGCTGCGTCAGGCGATCGATGGTCGCGTTCGCGCGGCACCTCGGCTGGATGTCGAGGCGCGGCTGGATCAGCTCTACGCCGCCTTCATCCAGGACCCCTGGAAGCTCAAGGTCACCAAGGCGCAGGTCTGGGCGGACGCCGAGCGCTTCTACGGCATCGACAAGATCTTCGCCGGGGCCGTCTATGCCTGGGCTTATGTGGTCGACCCGACCGAGGTGAAGTCGCTCGTCTACCTCGGCGACGCGCTCTTTGCCGCGGCCAATTGGCCGGCCGCGCTGCAGCAGTACGAATCCGCCCAACGTCGCCACGAGCGCAGCGCCTTGCCGATGCTGCGCATCGGGGATGTCTACGCGCAGATGGGCGAGCCGGACCAGGCGCGGCAGCGGTGGCAACAGGCCATGGACAGCCGTGCCGAAGGGCCCGACGAGCAGGCGTACCGCACGCTGGCGAAGCAGCGGTTGGCGGCGCTACCCCGCTAGGGCGTGCCGCGGCGCCTCGCGGCGCTCGAGCTGCCCCATGCTGCCTTCAAGCTGGCCACTCTTTGACCTCGGAC